GTGTGTGTGTGTGTGTGTGTGTGTGTGTGTGTGTGTGTGTGTGTGTGTGTGTGTGTATGTGTGTGTGTGAGTGAGAGAGTGAGAGATGGGTGAACGGGAAGGCGAGAGAAATAATTATATTAGAAGGAATATGTGCATCCGTGCCTGTTTGTGCCGTACGTGCGTTTGTCTGCGCGTGTGACTGCGCATGCGTGTGCACATCTCCGTCTGCATTCTTTCCTCCCTCCGTCCCTCTCTTCTTTCTCTCCTCTTTCCTTCCTCCTCCGCTCTCACTCTCTTCCCCTCAGTATTTCCCTCCCCCTCTCGCGGATAGTATCGCCTACGGCATCTGTTGCACGGTAATACAATAGTAAATTATTGTGTATATCGTATGTATTTGTATTTCATTGTATCGCGTACATTACATGCGGTCTTTGATATGACCATAGATATAGAATAGAGAATATTCTATATAGAATCTTCTATTGTATATCTATCAGGAGTAGATAATAGGGATAATTCCCTATTATCTACTATTATCTCTAATTAGATAATTCCCTATTATCTACTCCTGATATCTATGGTAAAACTAAATTTTATAGCACCACTAGAGTCCCTTTATATTGAGGGAGTCCCTCAATATAAAGGGACTCTAAGCACCACTGTACGCTAGCGCCATCCGCTTTGCTGCGGCGACTCTTGGAAGCAGCTGGCGCGTTGTCTCTGCTGGCAGCGACAATCGTTAGTAGTTGAATGAGTCAGTACCGGTGCGTACGCTATCTGACTAATGGGCACGCGGTGAAGCTGAACCACGTAAGTAAGACAGGCATGTAGGATGATATATAGTTGATGTAATACGGTGTTACTGTCTCCCTCCTCCTGTGAGCACGCGTGCTCCCCCGTTCATATGTTAAGCGCATTTAAACCAGGGTGTTAAAATGCGTCACGTCAGTTGGTGTCGATTGCGAGATGGTGAGTTGTAGTAGCAAAACGCGCGATTAGATTGCGATATATGAATTCTAAACTGAGGAGGTGTGTTGTGATAGGATTAGGGATGTTACGCGTGCGTGCGTGCGTGCGTACGTGCGTGCGTGCGTGCGTACGTACGCGTGTGAGAGCTTGTCTGGACGCGACCATGGACGTGCGCGCGCGTACGTGTGTGTTCGTGTATGTGTGCGTTCGTTTGTGTGTGTGTGCGTGTGCGCGTGTGTCCGTATGTTTGTGTGTGTGCTTGTGCGCGTGTGTTCGTATGTTTGTGTGTGTGCGTGTGTGCGCGTGTGTCCGTATGTTTGTGTGTGTGTGCGTGAGCGCGTGTGCCCGTATGCCCGTATGTCCGCGCGTGTGTGCATGCGCGCGCGCGTGGGCGTACGTATGCCCGTATGTCCGTGCGTGTGTGCATGCGCGCGCGCGTGTGCGTACGTATGCCCGTATGTCCGTGCGTGTGTGCATGCGCGCGCGCGTGTGCGTACGTATGCCCGTATGTCCGTGCGTGTGTGCGTGCGTGCGAGCGTGTGCGCGTCTAACCACATCTAGATATTATATTATATTATTTATATTCGCGCGCATCTTCGCCGTGATTTCCGTGGATTTCCGGCCAATTTCTCGACTTCCGTAAATTTCTGCAGTCGCTTCGCAGCACAGATCCGCCGCCTGAAGCCGGTACCGCCTGAAGCTGCCGACACCGCCTCAAGCTGCCGACACCGTGCCTAACTATCGCGAGGGGAGCAGCCTTAAGCGGCCCATACATACACGCAGAATATTACTGACAATAACATTGTCAATAATGAATATTGACAATATTATTGATCGTTAGTGGGTAATATTGTAGGAAAATGTTGACTTGCGCAATATTCTGACGGAAGCAAAACCCAGTAGATATTTATTGAAGGTTGCGCAAGGGCAACGCTAGGAACCATGTCTGTTCACCTTCAGCATCAGAGCACAAATAACGATATTGCAC